TATTAGCAGTATATACTCTATGCCGCTGACTCGTCCCTGCTCTCTCCGACACACGGACACAGTGAGTGGGGGGAGATTTGGGGGGATTTATTAAGCAATTATGTATTGTCTGCACTGTCCGCTAACCCATTCATGTTAGCAGAGGATCATTGTAAATGTATTGTTGCAGGCACTCTATATGTACATGTACTATATACTACATATAGAGTGCACTGAACAATAGATTTACAATTATCCTCTGCTAATATGAATTGGTTAAATGATCCGTAGTACATGATATGTAGCCCTGTACCCCCTTTTCCACTTACAGAGCTAGGTTATTGTTTTTCTTTTAAATAAATATTCATGTAATTTTATTGGTATCTATCTTCATTTTGTACATTTACCAGTAGCTGCCTCATTTCCCACCCTCGGCTTATACTCGAGTCAATATTTTTTCCCAGCTTTTTGTGGTAAAATTAGGTACCTCGGCTTATATTCGGGACGGCTTATACTCGAGTATATACGGTAGTACAATTTAACAACTGTCATGCTTTAGAAAAAAAGTCAAAATCATTACTATGGAAATTCAAAGGTAAAATCATACTAAACTCGGGATGCACATATAACGGTTTTTCGGTATCGAGTACCGTTATTTTTTTTTCCGGTACTCGCCGATACCTAAATTCCCATTAAAGAAGCTGGGTGGTGTGTAATAACTCGCCGCCCGGCTTCCTGATTAGCCGAGAAGCCGGTGTTCTATCATTCCATCGGACCCGTGACTTTCTCGGACATGTGTGAAAGGGCATGTGAAGGGCTTGGTCGTGTGCGCAAGTGCACTGGGGCACCAGGTCCGTAAATCTTATGGACCAACGCAGCTTATCAGTGGCTGCTAGTCCAGAACTCTTAAGGACTACCACGCATGCAGCAGTCCAGACATCTGATGGCTACTGCATCTGTGTGGGTCCAACAAAGCTCCCTATGCCGCATGTTTTCACGTATAATGTTTATAATGTTTATAAAGACAAATACAAACAAATACCAAATGAGCATAGTATATATTGTTTGCATGCCCAGTAGCCATCATATGTCTGGACTGACGCATGCGTGGTAGCCCATCAGAGTTGTGGAAAGAACACAGCTGATAAGCTGTGTTGGTCTGTGAGATTTATGGACCTGGTGCCGCAGTGCACTTGCGCGCACGGCTGAGCCCTTGACACGCCCCCTGCACAAGTTCAAGAAAGTCATGTGTCCGATGGAATGATAAAACACCGGCTCCATGCTCCCTCGTCACCAGGTGACCATTATGAGTCATTGCCCAAACCTCCGGGTTCCTGATTGGCTGGGAAGATGGATCTATGCTCCCTCGTCACCAGGGAGCAGTGAGCTGGCTTCCCAGCCAATCAGTAAGCCGTACAGCATGTAACGACTTGCCGCCCAGCTTCCTGATACCAAAGCATTTGGGCCAGTACAAGCATCAGTACATCCCTAATACTAATGATAAAATTAATCTACAAGTATTTCATTTTAGGTCATGCAGCTTACATCTCGTTTGCGTTGGTCTTTTTTAAGCTGTGCAATTTCACGGGTTCTACGAGAATCAACCATTCTAGCCTTTTCTTGCTCATCCTTCATTTGTTTCATGAGACGAACCTGAAAAAAACAAGACTTTAACGTCATATAAAATAAAAACACTAGTAAATGTTTTTTTATTTAAAGTGATAAAACATCATAAGATGGAAAAATAGTATTTGTGGATATAAATTGTATACAGTTTGATGACAGTGCTTACTTAGGGTTAGACTGTTACACTGTATTATTTACTGGGTCCAAAAGTGTACTATTTCTACCAGTCCTTTTCCAGTTCACATAGGTATTTTACAGAATGCTCCTTCTTCATACCTTCTACCTGCTTTCATGAAAGAAGACCCAGACAGTAATGCTAGCCATACACTGCTAGATTTCAGTTCCTCCATCCATGCGAAACAGCATGCTCCAGTGCCGGCTATTGTATTTAGGTAGCTGCAGCACCATCCTATCAGCTGCAGTCACTGTTTGGGCAATAATACTCCATCTGGCTCAGTCACTTTTTTAATTGGATGGATGGGCAGGGCCACCCACGGCTCAAATTGTCGCCAATTCAGCAGGATTCAACTGACATTCTAGCGGTTTATGGCCAGCTAAAAAGCTTTTTCATTACTGTTATTTCATTCCTACAGTCAGAAAAGTGGACTGTATGAATTATAGCATTTTACTGCTGACATTCAAAGTGAGGTAATACAGAAATCATGTGTCATAATTAGGATTCTCAAATGAATACAATTCTCACATGTAAAGCTCTTGTGTGACCATACTAAGAGGACAGAGCCAATAGTGGTAATTCAAAGAGTGTCTCTTTCCATATATTGTGCATCCATTTGGTGCAGTTGCCCTATTACCTTTATTTTCTTCATTTCGAAAACCTCCTGCTGCAATTTCTTCATCTGCTTTTCATATTGTGACTGGTTTTTCAGCAATCGCGCATGCTCTTTCTGGGCAGCTTGCAGTTTCTGGAGTTCCTTATTCATTGTCTGTAGCTTTTTCTCATACTCAGTCTTGATTTTCTTGGTCTTTTCTTCAGTGCATGATTCCATGGAGCCTAACATATGTTACAGTGATAAGTACAAAAGAAAAAAAAAAAACACACATAAAAAAGGTCAATATTCATAATTATATTTAACCCTTTCGCTGCCAAGGACGTACGTCGTACGGAGCTACAAAAGTTCTTCCAGCTGGCCAGCTCAGTACGTCGTACGGACCTGGCATTTACAGTTCTACTATAAGCTGAGGGTCGCTTTAGCAGATGGACATTATTCCCTCCAATTTATAAACAGTGGTTCATTAATTGATGTGAATGGAATTTACCAGTAGCTGACCACAGTCATTACATTCTTATGTGAAGACTAAATGTACTTGTAGGAGCACATTCAAGCATACTGACACTGAATGATTACCTGAGTTTAAGCTAATCACAGCCAGTAAATGGTGAGCATATGATAAAAAAAACAAAGAAAAAACAACTGTTTCATTAGCATGCTCACTGGGATTGCCAGAGTATGTACAATATATAGAGGGTAAATGAACATGATATCACTTTGTCAGCCATTATTTCAAGGAAGAAAACACCCATAGTCATCCGAAAAAATCCATTCAGACCGATCGTTAGTTCCCCTGGAAATGATCAGCTGAAAGTATACACGAAATTGAATTCAACAGTACACAAACATATAGAATTCTATTTAAAAAGGGAGTGGGAGTCTGGATAGCGTACAACTCCAAAAGTATCATATGAACAGCTTAGAAATTGTATGCTGCATGCAGTATTGCAGGATCAACAGTGAGGGGCAACTGAAGGAGGTGCTAGACACCAGCACCCAAATACAAGGGAAGCAAACTAACCATGATGAGCCCTATGGGCTGAGTGGGAGTTATGCTCTGAAGGCCCACGAGAACCTATTGTTGAAGTAGATGAATGAAAAGGGTGTTATTCCTTTGATCCCTCTGCAGACCTCTTGCAGCAGCACAATGCACCCCCCCCCCCCCCCGTGGGGTGTAACAACCCAATAGGTGGGCAAGAAAAAAAAAGTGTTGATAACCACAGTGTTCAGAGCAAGGCCAAAGCACTTTGATCAGTTGGAACTGGGATTTAAGGAGGGACTCTAGTTGCCGGTCAGTGAAATCTCAAAAGGTGAGCAAACTCTCAACTAGTCTAGAGTTATTCCTGTCAAGGTGGGTCACTGGTGTGTCTATTGCAGGAACAGACCATCTATTTACCAATTCCCAAGCAAAAGGGAAATGTTCTGACAGTTTCAGCTGAGGTCCAGGACCCTTTAGTATGCTGCCAGTCTGCATAAAACAATGTCTCAAATAATGAGTGTAGTGGGAGGTTTTTGCAGCTGTAGAAGCTCTAAAAGACCCCAGGCCTGGAACAGCAAGCTCAGCCTCCAGATGCTGGGTACTATACACTGCAACAATAAGGTCTGAAACAACCCCTGGAAATCTGAGTCAAGAGCAGGAGACTGTAGTGCCTCAAAAACAGTCTCTCCAGAGATGGACAGTTGGGACTCTGAGAAGATGACAGGGCCGTAGGCCCATCCTGGGCTTAAGAGAATCAGAGACTGACTCTGCCAGCAGAGGCTGTAACAGTGTATAAACCGCTAAAAAGTCCAGAGTGGACCTGGAGGTCCCTATGGGCATGGTAGAGGACTAGGCTTCACCCAACAGAGCTGAAGACGACTCAGCTGATGAGGACCTTGAGACAATAGGGGTTCTAGATTACAGGCTCTAGTTCCTTCTGGGAATACCAAGCAAACACCCCCAGAACCACTAGGGGAGTATGGGCCAAGCTCACCCATAGCAGCAGGACTGTCCTCCCTCTGTCATAATGAAAAAAGCATATAAGGCCCAATGTGAGGAAAGGCCTCAGGTACTGTAACCCAGGCAGCTTTTGCTGAGAAGGAGACCACTGTAGGTGTCCGGTGGCCAGAAACCAGAGATCCAGGTGGTGCTTCCCGAGCAGGAGCAAAAGCAGTATGGTGCTTCCTCCAGACTGAATGGCGGGAGAGAGGAAGTGGAGTGCCCCTCTATCCAGCAAATTAAGTCAGCACTTGCTCCCTCAACCTTAACCCTTACCATGGTAAAACCAGCATTTCAAAAAGCCTAACTGTGAAAACAGTGAGGTAGCTTCTGAGTGTTTCAACCCAAAACATATTACTCACAAAGTGAGTTTTCAGAGACTGGATCACACTTGAGGCTGTACTGCAACACTGGACCTGGAAATTGCCGTAGCCACAAAGTACGTCTGCAGAGACTGGGTCACACCTGGGGCTGTACCATAACTCTGGACCTGTAAAGCGCTCCATGCTAACACCGTACACTCTGGTCTGGAAAGCAACAATATGCAGTCCAGTACGACCTCCAAAGTAAGAGGAAACACCAATTCGAATAGCTGCTATATAGAGACCAGCTCAAACAGCAGTGTCAGCAAGGAATCTTGAATGAAGTTAAAAGGAAAAATATCCACAATGCAAAGGCTAGCAAAAAATAAATAGAAATTTTTCAGCAGAGCAAAAGAAAAGGAATCCAACTTCCTAAGACACTAGCACAACCTCCTAGGACACTAACGGAGGCATTCTGGATAGAGGAGGGGTTGGCTCGCAGTTTTTCTGTTCGCCCGTGTCCAAAACTCCTGTAGGTTGCAGAATAAACCCACAGTTTCTGAATTTCTGTGTCCCTCAATGAATGAGTAAGAAAATAAAGTTAACCCTTAAGGACCAAAGCCTTTTTTTTTTTCGTCTTTGTTTACATGTTATAATCTACATTTTGGGCCTGAAAATTACCTAAACTCCCCAAACATTTTATATTTTCTGAAAGCCAAGTCCCTGTAGAATAAAATGGTGGCAGTTGTAAATTTTTATGTTGCCCGACATTAGCGCAACTTATCAAACCCAAAATTTTAGTGAAAAATGCGCCTATGTTAAATTTATTGCCCCAAAACCCTATATAAAACCCTTTTTTTTTGTAAAATATAAAAGATGAGGTTACAACAAGTAGATACCCAGCATGCCCAGGTTAAAAATTGTGTGCGTCTGTGAAATTGCAACAAAATTCAGTACCCCAAAAAGTCCACAGACGACGCTTCAAAATCCCCTACAGGTCATGAGTTTAGAGATATACGTAAATATTGGCCATAGAATTATTGCTCACACTCTGGCGTGTGCAGTGATACCCAACATGTGTAGTGCAATCATTGTTTTCGTACATAGGCGCACCCAACGCGTGTTTACATGAAGACGCGCATGCTCGCAGGGGACTTTAAAAAAATTTTCTTTACTATTATTTTTACATTTATTTAATTTAATAGTTTTTAAAGTGTTTTTACTTTAATTGCCATCACATAGTGGGGCTTACAAGCCCCCCATGTGATATTATATTGGTGGTGACAGGTGCTCTTTAAGGTGATGCTGGGGGTCCAAAAGACCCCTAGTATCACCTTTACACTCTAAATAAGCTATTGAAGTGCAGATCGCACTTCAATAGCGTATTGCTGGACTTCAGGAGCCCACCAATGACTGCTCAGAGATCGTAAGTGATGCAATACGCGTTGCTCCCGGTCCCATATAACAGGGAGGAGATCGGTGAACGGACGTTCACCGCTCTCCTCCATAGCTTCCTGCCGACACCTGAGATCCCTGTGTTTTGCCACTTTACCGGCCCATAGAAGTGATCTGGCGACAGCTGAGGCACCAGAAATCGATTCTACATTAAAGCCGGCCACCAGCTCTTCAAATCGGCACAGAGTCCTGGTGGAGACTGTTTAACCCCTTAAGGACCCATGATGGGATTATTCCGCCATGGGTCCTGAAGGGGTTAGGTTTATATTGAAGTGGCATTATCAATTATGGATTTTTCATGATGACAGGTACCTCTGTAGAGTGCATTTTTATTACCCATGTTTTGAAGTACACGATCCCTTTCAAGCTGTGTGTCTCGGATTTTATGCTGCAGTGTCATCAGCTTCTCCTCGTACTGCTGCTTCAGGGTGTGCAGTCTTCTCTGACTGTTCTCTAGCTCATCGATGAGCTTCTGCTTGATTGCAATCTCACAGGTAATGTTGGCCAGATCTGCTTGGTAGTTTTCTTAAAAATAAAATGTATTAAATGCTATGAAAATCAGGAAGGTAACAAATGTTTGCAAGCAAAACTATTATGAACTAGACAAGAAAGGGAATAAGCACTACAATTCTGGACTGTAAACAAACCAAACAGTATGAGATTACATTTCATAAACTCTCTTAATCCTCTACATTTATCTAAAGAACAAAAAAAGTACCTTTTTCTTCTAGTTCTGAATCAGATTCATCTGAACTCTCTGCAGCATCAGCATCTTCCTCATCTTCATCCTCTTCCTCATCGTCTTCTTCATGATCACTTCCTTCTTCCTAATAAGATTGGAGATTCCCCATTAGTGTTATAACCAAGGGAAACATTTTTTAAAAAAACTGTAAAAAATCTAGATTTTTTTTATAGACATGTTTTTATGACCACTTTAGTATTTACTCATTAAGGTGTGTTCATTAATTATTTACACAGATTTTGTGTGTGTGTGTGTGTGTGTGTGTGTGTGTGTGTGTGTGTGTGTGTGTGTGTAGCACACACACACACACAAACATTAGTACAGCCATATATGTACAAACATTTGCAATTTGCACCGATGCTCAGTGGGACAGCAGAATGATTGTGTTCCACTATTCTCAGGGGTAGGCATAAGGTCTTCAAAAATCTGATCTGTAGGGGCAAACTAAATATGTACATGTTGCTGAAAGGTGACCAATACATTTCTTGACAGCTACAGCCTCTTACCAGATGGTACATGATGCCAGGCAATAGACAAATGTAGAGCAATAATAAAAAGTGACACCAGGCTAACTGGAGTCCTTTTTCTTCTACTGTGGATGACTTAAATAAACTCTACGTGGCCTGAGGAACCTACAGGAAAGAGTCTCCCAAGCCATCAGCTTTTTGGCCTAAGAGCAGCGGCAGTTGCTATCAGCCTTTAAAGCTTTAACCCCTTAAATACCAGTGATATCCATAGTACGTCACTGGCATCTGGCATGTTTAAATGGACTCTCAGGGGCTTTTGCTCCTGGGGCTCTGTTTAAATTTGTAATTTGCTTTACAGTAGAAGCAATTCTGGCGGCTCAGCTGCCACCAGATCACTTCTACGGGCCGGTAAACCGCACCATGTTTCCTGGGCTCTGCTGCCCCCTCCTACGGGCCCGGGACTGGCTTCTCTGGTGTTGGGGGGAAGCTTGGGAGTAGATCGGCGAACTGCACTTCCAATAGCTTAGAGTGTAAAGGTGTCACTAGGGGTCTTTTGGACCCCCAGTATCACCTTAAAGGAGTACCTGTCACTCCCAATATGCTATCACATGGAGGGCTTGTAAACCTCACTATGTGATAGCAATTAAAGTAAAGTTTTAAAAAGACCAAACAGTTTTTAAAATTATTATTAAATAAAATAAATGTAAAAATACTTTAAAACATTTTTTAAGGTCAACCGGCCCTGCGAGCATACACGTCTTCATGACGCTTCGGGTGTAACATTTTTCTACTTGAGCATGTTGAGCATCTATTTACTCGTTGTAACGTCATCTTTTATATTGGTAAAAAAAACTAACAAAATAAAACCTAGCCGTACCCCGGTACTAACTTCATAAACAAAAGTATAAGTCCTAATTAACAGGCTGAGCAGGCCTACCACTTGTCAGCCTCCACATACACAGTTTGCTAGTTTTTTTACCAACCTTGCAGCTCTCTCAGACAGGACTTATCTGATCCCCAGGCCAAGAGCTATGACTACAGGTTCCAGGTGAGATTAAATTGCCAGTGGAGAGAGGAGTAAACCCTGCTCTGGAGCCCGAATCAGCAATCCCTAAAATATATAGGAGAGGAACCTGGGAGATCTATAAACTCCGAACAGGACTTTTTCCAGGCTCCGTCTGGGACACTTTGCTACAGTACATTAGAAAGTTTGTATCTCTAGTGCATCTATTATGTATTAAAAGTACAGGTTTCTAATCTTTTGCTGTTAAAACAAAAAAAGGTAATAAAAGATTTTCAGTTTCAGTCTTCTTGCCTATTAATCATGGCTATCCTTACAACTTCAACATGTCATATCAGTGGTGGCTTTTAAATAAACTTTTCTGCAGACTACTTGCAGATTTATTGATCTGAAACGCTGTAATTGGTATTGGGATGTTTGTGAAAGTATCACACGTACCTTCAAAACAAAATGATACTTAAACCAAGCTATAAACTTCAACCCACCAAATATAATTAGACTTGAACAGATGACTGCATATACCGTCATTTATCTTGTAGAACACCAACCAAAATACTCAATAAGCAATAGCCATTCACAGGTCCAACCAATAAAGATATTTGAATAACTGAAAGAGGGTATGAGCTCAAGGTCAAGATTTGCAGATTGCGCAGTGGGCTCCCAGAGCACTCTACAAGATGGGTGATGCCGCACTAGTAGATTTAGGATAGGTTTTAAAAGTTGAATCAAAGAAGAATTCCTGGCCGAAATTGTATTAACTGCCCTAAGGTCAAAAAAATTATACTCACCCAATCCTCCGAGCCAGCAGCGCTCCCCTTCCCCTGCAGTGATGGTATTTCACTATACACTGTATTGGACGAGATGATTTAAGGATTCCTAGGTCGCTGCTGCAGAGTGGGAGAGACACTCCAGGGACCAGACTAAGAGCAAGCTGGCTTGAAGGATTAGGCGAGTATAACTTTTTTTTCCCCCTGGGCAAAAAAAGACAGTTAACCCTTGCAGTGCAGGGGTAGCTCCACTGAAAGGGTTAATAAAAAGTTCTGCCTGAAGTTCACCTTTTAAGCAAAGAACATTCTGGGATTGCTTTGGTATAAAGGCAGTTCAGCAGAAGCTGCACATTTTATGGCCCTTTTTTTCCTCAGAGAATCTTTGGTCCTGAATGTAATATATTACAAAACACTGTATATTGCCTTTACACAAATAGGAAGAAACCACGGCAGACACAAAGAACCTATTATGAGGCAGAGATAAATCTCACATACTTACAATATCTATTTCAGTCGATTCTTTTTCTGTAAAGCCTCTCTCTTCAGACTTGTCGCCATCCCCATTTTCATCTCTGACAGCAATAAAAAAGTAAAAAACAAAAACAGAAAATGCCCAGTTAAACACTGTAAATGATAACATGATTGTGCTTTGTGCCAAGACAAAAAAAAAAACTGGTAATGTGACAGTCACGTAGCCGTAGCACTATAAAGCTAATTCCCACTTGCAATTTTAGGTGATTTTTTTCATGCAGAAAAAGTATCACTGTCACAATGATGTGATGATGAAAAAGGCCTTTGCCCTTTTCACCAATTCAAAGTATTTGCCACTACAAACCAGCTGCAATGGATATTTCTAAGCCAATTATTACCCTTGATGAAAATGGGGAGAAGCTTAATACAACTTACATTTACTAGAATTTAGTTTATAATTCAGTCTTAAATATGGCAACCTCTAAAAGCTATAAATCTAAAAAGTGTTCTGGTTTTAAACCTATCAAAACAGTAGAGGCTATAAATTTGCATAGTGTAGGGCCATGATTACAAAGAGAATGGCCATTAGCATATAAATTGACCCAGCATAAATTCAGCACTTAGATATACCTAGAGATGCAATATTTGAATTCGATGTAATTTGCAAGTGGAAGCAAGCCTTTTAATATCCTTAACAAGAACACGTTCAACTACAAAAAAAAAAAACATTCTATCTCATATAAAACAGATACATTTCATGAAGCATCACTTTGACAAGAAACATGTTGTATGTTCTTCTACAGCACTGTATCTTTATGCCCTAATTGCATGTTTCTTTGTCACTAGACACTTCATAACAATGGTAAAATAATGGAATCATGGAACATATTGGGGAGGAATACAGAGAAAGAAAAGTAATATACTGTATAAGCTGTGTCCTAGAAAGAAGCAAGTAACATAAAAGCTGTTAGATCAGGATTTATGAGGATGGCAAATAAATATAGATTGGCTTAGTGCAGATTGTAAAAAAAATAATAACCATCATGCATTAGGAGCCGATATTCTGGTGAAACGTGCTGTACCAGATTATTGTAGGTCTGGAGTGGTACAGTGGAACAGCAAAAACTACCATAAGAACGCAGCAAGCACTAAACTATGCATCAAACCATGTCTATGCGACCCATTCACACACGTTTGCACACGTTTTCAAGTGTAGGTAGCATTGCACAGGTCTGTTTCATTTTCTATCGGCCCTCGTTGTGCATCCGCTCACCAAAAAACACAGTTTTGAGTGTGCATACCCATTGGAGTGCCAGTAAAAATGAGCACCTCCATGTTGTACCTTGGGTTGCATTACAAAAAAGGGGCACACAAGTGTAAACGGGCCTAAGATAAACTACAGCGGTCAGATTTTTTTTTTTTTTGGGTGGTCATGCACAGGCTGTTTTTCGGACACCACATACATTGTTTTTCATCGACAGCTGTTGTCAAAGGGCCATTACCCTTCAGACATGAATGCTGCAAATTCTGCAGCAATTTAGCTTATGTAGAGTGTGCATTTTAGGACATTGTTTCTTGCATTGACCTGTACACTAGGTTAGATTTTCCCCACTTTCCTCCTATCCAGCTGCATACTAAAGTACTCCCTTCTAGAAGGCCTCACTACTCAAGGATTTCTTCCTTCTTACTCCAATCTTGTACAAGGGGTATGGAAGTGGGAATTAGAAGACCTGGGTTTGAAAGGAGGAAGGCAGAGAGCATGGTATATGGAAGAGGAAGATAAGAAGCAAGGATTAAAACAGAGGAGTAGGAGAGATGTTTATGTTGAGGGCACAAGATTGATAATGGTTTGCAGCTGGTAAGAGCTTTACTGAGACCAAATAGAATAGAGAATTATGTAATATACAGGTGTGTGGAAAGAATGCTCTAAACCAGGTGCCTAACCTGTGGGCCAGGGGGGTGTCATGGGCCCTTTGGCACTTACTGTGGAGCTCTCTGGGCGTTTGCTTTACTTACCTAGGTGCTTACTCAAGCCTGTAAAGCTTATTTAACACTATATTACTGTCTGTGTGCTGTCCATCCCTTTCCTCTTTTTATCTTTTTTCTCTAGAACTATTAATATAGCTGCTGAGAGGAATATTAAATGTGGCAAAAGTAATGTTTAAGGAGTTTGTATTGAGCACAAATGTGTAGGCACAAATCTGTAAATGGACTATAATAGCACTTGTCCATGTTAAAAATTTAAATAAAGTGTCATGTTTATCATCGTCAATGCTTGCTGCAGCTCCAACTTGGGCAAAAGCCCCAAATTATGGACATTCCTATGGGGGAGGCACCGACAGCACTAAAGCCATCGCCTTCTCTGTGTTCTCCTCCTTGCCGTGCAGTCCATGCCTCCTCTGCTCCGTTCGTTCAGATAAAAGACTACATTTGTCTGAGAGTACTCTTGTAGTAGCTTGTGTTTTTGTGAATGACACTGCTGCTCCCCAGCCAGTCATTCATACAACACAAACCACCAAGTACTACTGCAGTTATCTAGTCAGAATTAGCTGGCAGCTGCTGTAGGTTGCAGGCTGTTTTTATCCCTACAAACAGGTCAGAGGAGGCACAGGTTGCATGCTAAGGAAAGCAACAGATGTTCTGCCTGCAGCTTTCAGAAGAGGTGGGGCTGTGTGCTCTGTGTCTGCATCACCCCCTCCTCTCTGTGTGCTGCCAATCAAAAATCACGCCTTCTTGCCAAAACTGATAACGCTACTTAAGTACCGCAGTATTGATTTTAACAGGGACAAGTGCTATGTGCACAGGATTCCCTAGTGGACTGCACAAGCCTCATTAACTTCTGATAAGCTGACTTATTTAAGATGATGTACGCCTGTACTTAATTTTGGATCTGTATCCCCGTTATAAGAACCTTGAAAATAAATTTATAGAACCATAAAACATGTACCTTCCTCTAGCCACTTTCTGTATAACCAGTCACACTAAAAAACTCAGAGGAAGGTTTTAATCTAATTGCTGGCTATGAGAAGTATCTCGATACCAACTATGTTTGGGCGGTAGAAAGGAGGGTGTTTCCTTTATCAAAAGCAGGTGTGCTTCCAGATCCCCAGATTTCAAACAAAAGGCAGAGGGATGTGCTGATGCCCTAAAGCTAGGATTAAAAACGTAAATACTGAGCAGGTATGTTGTGCTCCCTGTAGTGAATGGCATATCAACAGCACTGAAATCTATAGTCGAAAAGCAATCAAGTGCAACAACACCCTTTTAACCTACATTGGAGACATGACCGATTAATATGGGGAGCAAAAACGCAAGCAAATGGAACAGTAGTTCCAACTGAGCACAGACAACGTAGCTCTGATTATCTGTCCGTTTACAGCCATTCAGCTCAGCTATGTTTTCATGGCAGGGAGCACTCAGCAGGAATGCGAGGCAAGCACCCCTATTTGGCATTTATGCGTATAAAGCCCTAGTGCAAATGTACATTAAGTGTGCATTGTTCTAGCTTAGGAAGATGGTAGGATGCTCCTGAAAAGTGCCACTCAGCGCTCAAGGTAATACCTCTGCTTTACCTCATACATGCTAATAGAACTATCCAGGTATTTTTGACTGGATAAACTGAAGCATATTTATAAAGCAGTTCATCTGACATTCACCTCATATTTACCGCAGTTAAATCTTCCATGGTGCATTTGTTTCAAAAGACAGTGATTGATTTATCACCAGTAAATGTTTGGAGAAAGTCTTATTCAATACTTTATAAATATGCCTCACTGTGAATGATATCACCATACAATATCTGCACCCAATGCATTTTACTTCAGAGAGAAAAAAATAAAAAATAAGATAGTGTTCACCAAGAATAGGGATGTATTGTGCATGAGTGACTCCTGGCCACACTTTACGATGCACAGAATATCCCTAATAAGGCGTAGTGAATCCAGCTCTTTTATGAATTCTAAGTGCATTCTGCAGTTCTGTCTGCCTTTACACCAATTACTACTAGCCATTCTATTTTTATTAATACTTGCCTATATTTGCCAGCAAGACATTTCACAGTACCAGTGGAATTATGCATTTAGCATATCACAACTGTAAATTCAACTGTTTTCAAAAATATATTGTTCACGTTCTAGTTTTTCTACAGCAATAAATGTAATTATGGGAATCCAGGAGCTCTAGAAAGATCCCTACAATTAGACTGTGTTGCAACTGAACAAATATTAAAAGATTGCAAAGGATCCCAAATGTTCACTGTAAGAAACGAAAGTCAGTCTGTAGCTGGTCTTCAGACAGGCAGGCAGTTGGGGTTTTCTCAAGTATGCTGGGCACAGTCCTGCACCTATTAACCCATCGAAGAGGCAAGCCTACAGAAGTGAATGGACCTGCCTTGAATTTTCACAGTAATGTGCCAAGCCAGCTCATGGAAACCTTATAAGCAAAGTCTATTTTCTACTTAAAAGTGTGGAGGGAACTTTAAAGGTAACATGGCTGTGACTGTACATATCGTAGAATTAAAATGTAAGGCCATTTCTGTCCACATTTTTAAACACAAAATTCTGACAGAACAAAAAAGTGAGCATGAGCTTTAAAGGAGAACTATGAGGTGAGTGCTTTTCACTCACCTCATAGTTCTAGCCAACCTGTGACAATGAGACTGTCACAGGTCGGCTCAGTAGATCGGGAGGTGAGCGAACACATACCGACGTTCGCTCACCTCTCGATCCTGTCACGGAGCTGCATTCCCCCCTCCCCGCTCCGATCCACCAGCGCTGACTGGCGGAACGGACGGGGCGGGTACAGCTGGCTCTGCCTCTAGATAGGCAGAGCCAGCTGTCAGTCACGCAGCTGGGCGGATCCAGGCATAATTGTCGGGATCCGATTCAGCCGCGGCGTCTCAGTATACCGCGAGCAACAGCTCGCGGTATACTGAGCCTAGGGTGACGGGAGGACGCTAGTTTGTGTCCCCCCATTACCCAAAGGAGAACTATGGGGAAAAGCCTTAACCCCATAGTTCTCCTTTAAAGGTAGACTCCAGTTAAGTAAAAAATGAGTACTTGTAAAATAAGGTTATAATCACTAGTATTTCTGTAAAATGTAATCGTGAGCTGCAGCAGTGCCAGTCACTGTATGTATTACAGTTAGACAATACATTGTAGATAGGGTATAGGCTTTTTGTTTGGATCAGAAAATTTACATTTGTGATAATAAACTGGACTGGGTTGAAATACCCAAGCTACAGGTGTTAAACCTACTTGATGTAAACCTGGTTTGTGTGGTTTGAGTTCAATCGGTAAACATTTTTTGTTCTTTTACCAGCTTGTAGGTCCTTCACTAAAGGTATCAGATTTGAGTATTTAAAGTGACACTAAACTTAGGAGTTAAATCTTAAAAATGCATTCAAGTACCTTAACCATTAACAAAAATGTATCTCATTTGTGTTACACTCAGCTGTAGATCCTCAAATCATCTCTGAATTCATACTGACACTGTCCTTGCTTCTAGACTGACACCCTCGTGATCCTTATGTACGCAAACCCTGGATTTCTAATCACCTTTACACACACCCTGATTTTATATTATTTCGTATAATTTTTCATTGGTTCGTAGTTTTCATATTTTGTTTTTGTATAATGGTTTTTTAATCACCCATAGGGTCATATGTTGTGTTTATGTAACACTGTGCTCCATTTAAATAAGATCATAGGGATAAATACTTTGTGCCTGTCATTGATTCTATGTGTTTTTGCTCTCCCTCCCCAGCCTTCTCCCACTTCCTCCCTCCGCTCCTGTTCTTCTGTGCCGTCTCCCTCACTGCATTCCAGGACAGCGGTGGTTACGAAGGACGTTTTTCTAGCAACCAGAGACGCCAGAGCTTCAGTACTGTCTCTCACTAAACGGAGGTTCCCCGCCTCCACTGCGCTGCCGCAGTTGTCCTGGAAACCAGTGACGTGGCAGCAATTCGTCTTCACAGACACTGAAAGCCTCTCTATTTCTTTTTCCGGAATTTAGCTGTTTTCTTCTGCTACCACTGTTCAATAGTCGCAGGGCACAGGAGGTCAGTTTTACTAACATTGTTCAGGCAAATTGGTTGTGTGAAGATATATGCAAAATTCTGGCGGGATTTGACGTCAGTATGACGTCATGGGGAGGTTCTGTGGTCTACTGTTTAAGCTGAAGTTGCATACTTGTTGTCACTATATCGCCCAGAAGAAGGGACCCTGAGTGGCACTGAAACGTTGGCTGTTTGGCGCATGTGACTAATAAAAAGTGCTTTACTTCTTGCACATATCTTCGAGTGCTGGTGACTTCTATTATGGACTGTATCTGACACAGCATCATCCGTGTTGTCACTTCAAGCACCAACCTCTCATCTAAGGTCTGTACGCTGTATGGAGTGCAGGTGATTTCGTATTATTATCGATTGCTTCTAGAGGGTGGCTACTTTTGTTCCCCATGGTCCCTGAGTGATGGAAAGTAGCCATCACTCCAGACTCACTCCTGTGATGGACTACAATCTCACGTTTAATGTACTAATTTGTATTGAGATTGTAATGTATCCCGGCAGTGATCTTGGAGCATTTGTAAGATTTAACTCCGGAGTTTAGTGCCACTTTAAGAACAGTGCACATCTACACTGCACTTTAGCAATCAGTAGTCAGGATGGCTGAGCGTCTTCTGTTCTGAGCCGCTGTCATCCTGTCAGTTTTTGGATGACAGCGGCTCTGTGTAGCGTGGCCGAGCGGGGGATCGTTAAATATCAATGATATTTAACGATCCCTCTGTGCAGAGCAAACACCGGAGTGATCGTCTGATCACTCCGGTGTTTGTAAATAACTGGGGACACATAGTACTATGTGTCCCCAGTTATGAATGAACAGGCTGCGATTTACATCACAGCCTGTTCATTGAAGAATTTATGAATGGGGACTAGCACTCACTACAGAGGCTCCTCCCCATTCAGAAACTAATGATAGTAAAATATTTTTACTATCATTAGTTTGTGAATGAATGAGAAGCCTCTGTACTGAGGCTTCTCATTCATTGAGTGCTGGGGCTGCAGAAAAAGAAATTGAGGACTTATGTCCTCAATTTCTTTTTCTATTTCAAAAGGGAAATGTCAGGGGTCTATTTAGACCCCAGATATTTCGCTGCAGCCCCCCCCAACAGTAAAAAAATAAAAATAAAAAATTATTAAAAAATAAATAGAAAATGTAAAAAAATAAAAAATAAAAAAAATAAAAATGTAAAAAAAAAATAAAATAAAAAAATGTGTACAAAAAAAATAATAAAAAAAAGCACAACCCCTCCCTCCCCCCACATAACATACACATATTGAGGTGTACGCCATGCACATGCGCTGCAGTGCGTTGTTAGAACGCATCGCAGTGCATGATTTTTTTAATGTATTTTTTTCTTTAAAAAAAAATTAAATTAACTGTGGCAGCGCATGGCAAAGCTTTGTGACGCATTGCCATGCGTTGTGATCTTTGTGTTGCAATAAATATACGCCTGTATCATTTTATCACAACACAAACACCAACACAGCGTGAAAACAATTTTTTAACATAAGTTCCTTTTTTACAGTTTTGCGTACCGTAATTTTTTTACCTTTTCGCAAAAAGGCGCAATTTTAAATTTGCAAATATTTGTTATTTATTAACTCAATACAGTTTTATCTTTTAGATTTAGTCAGAAAATTATTATTTTTTGTGCGCTGATACTGATTTTAGTGTGTTTTATCAATTGAATTGTGTATTTTTATCGGTTTAATATTAATTTGAGAAACATTTGCGCAATTATCGCACGGCCTACAAATTTAGTATCACCATCTTTTTATTCTACCGGGCCTGCGCTTTCAGAAAATATATGGTTTGGGGGGTCTTTTACAAACGCTAGCAACGCAGCAGTTGAAAATCAAATCAATGGGAAAAAATTGCAGAAAATTCAAAAATGGCTTGGCCAGCTGATTTGAAAAATGTTCCGGAGGGATTGGCAGCGAAAGGGTTAAAGCTTCAGTAAATATGAGTGCTTTCTCTTCCCAAATTAGATTACCCTGATACAAGTGAAGTCCGAGATAAAATGTTCATGCTGGCAATTATCAAACACATAAATGCATAAAATGAAGCTGGAATGATCGGATTATACTGTGTTAATAATAAATACAATTAAACGTTATTTTTTTTCGTTGTAAGACAGGTGAAGATCCAACAAAAACAAATAACAGAGATAAAGGGGAGTATTCCAACCTTCTTTCTTCTTGGTTGTTTCCCTGAAGCTGCTGTAGCCTTCAAAAGCAGAAGTACAGAATAGGCAGCCAAACCAATGCAGGACAGACCAGACAAACAATGAAAGTTATAAAAGGTAAAAATGGTGCATGAACGTCTTACCTTCAACATATATACTATACAACGGTAAGCAGCATGTAAAAGCCAAATTCAAATCTCCTTACAATGACAAAGCTGTGAGTTCCATCCAAAAACATATTTCACTATGCCATTAAGAAGAGAACATTAAGAGCTCCGAATAACAAATATGAGATTGTAAAGGAAAAGCAATAAAACTGAACTGGTATATATGAATGAGTTGCTGTTATCACAGCCACATATATTTCTAGTTGCTATGGTAGAAACAGAGCAGTGGCCCATCAAGAGGGCAAGAGGTGCTACCGCAGACTGCAAATTGGCCCTGTTTTAATCTTATTATTATGATCCATGCACATTACTGAGTTTGAAGTTTTTGGTTTGGTTTTTTTTTTTTAGGAAGAAGCAGGCACAGTTCAGACATACAGTCTATGTAGGCTGGTCAGATTATTGCACTGCAGTAAACAAAAGGTCACTGCGTTTTGTTTGCTGTAATGTGCCTCAAGGAGCACAGGACGTATTACATGATAACTCATAGTAATGTGCATTTTCATGCTTTTAATCATGGTTAAGTCAGACGACAAAAATGTATCTCTTACATAATTGATATAATTGGATCATGGAAAATGTATAACTACTTAAACAGCTTTAATAAAATGTTAAATTGAATTTTTTATTTCAGAACAATTAAGGAATTACAAGCAACAAAATTAATTCTCTGTGGTTCTTCAATTAGTTTTATAGTAATATACTGTATGTGATATTTTCAAGCGGATTAAAAATAAGCATCTAGTCTGAAGGGGGAAGAAAACCCCCCTGCATATTATGCAACTAAAAAAAAATGTGTAATTTGATTAACCATTAATGTGTCCTAGCAATGATTACTTTCCTTCATATAATATTTAGGTTAAATAAATAACACCCTTAATGCAGTTACATGAATAACTGCATTTATACATTAGACCGAATGTGTATGGCCCCAAAATACCAGTATAGTCTACTATACCGATAAACTCTACTGATAAAGCCTTTGACAAACCATGTTAAATGTCAGTCGAGACTGGTGTCTGTTTAATATCATTCTATATCTCTTCCAGTGTGGAAAGTAACTTATATATACATATGTTAACTTGTAATACGAACAGGGCCGGTTTTACTCTCTCTGCTGCCCCAAGGCCAGGTTCCTCAATATGTACATTTAGTCCTGCAGGACTAAATGTAGAAAACCACCACGGGCCCGGAACTGCATGTCCCAGGCATTGGGAAATAGAAATTCCACACCCCTGCTGCCCCTCTGCCCCAGGGCCGGGCCTTGGTTGGCCTTGTGGGAAATCCGGCCCAGAAAATGAAAAGTATAAAACATAACTGAACATAAAGACCTAAATCATATGAATTGACTAGATTTAAAATTACACTGCAATGTCATTTTGACTATAACTTGGGGATGTACAACTTGGCCACGGTAAGATGGAAGGCATTCTTGAAATTAAGCCTTAGGTCAACACAAAACAGGCTCAACAATTTGTCTTTTACAGACTTATCTTCCCAGCTAGAATTGCTGAATCAGTCAGACGCAGATCGCCCTGGCATTTAAATCCTCCATTTACCTGTAAGCTGACATTGGACTGTAATGCACACAAAGCACAAGGCATAGTATAAAGCTCATTGTGTACAATCTTCAATTTCACCAAGCAGGTCAAATGTATTTGTCATCATGCATCTGAGAGCACTAGTGACACTGTAGGGGAAGACATTTCTGTAGAAGGACGATCCTTGAAGCCCATGAGCAATAGGCTTTATAGCCAAATTCTTATTTGTTTGCTTTTTAAAAACAAAGAACCACTGCCTGACTATATGATATACTCTTCCCATTGCAAGTTGTTTATGCAGCAAAAGTAATCCCTCAAAATTTAATCCATAGCTCTGGCTCCTGGACTTTCCTATACCAGCTTTAGAAGGGAATAAAGGAAGAAGATTAGGAGGGAATGTTGGTCAGAGAACATCACTATTCTATGCTGGGTTAGTGACCCACAAAGCCAAATAGTCAGAGAATGATAAAGACTAGCAATTCCAAAAATGAAAAAAAAAAAATACTGGACATGGCAGTGCCCACCAGTCAGAAACCTGACTAATTCAAAGTTAGCCAAAAAAGTTGGTCAAAAAAATAAGTTAATATCAAAGTAGTAAGTAGATACAGAGATATAGGCAGTTTGTGCCTAGCCATGAAGCCTCCACATTTCTATATTGGTCCTTTATGGGGAGGGGCCACCTCACTTACCGATAAAGGGGGTCAGGAAGTAAGTGAGGAGTCAATTTCTCCTTTTACAGGAAAAGGATTAGAAAAAGAAGGTTAACTTTGGGACACTAAGCACATATGTAGCATACATATGTACCAGCGATACTATGTTGAGACTTTACTTATGAAGGTAAAAAGTAACAAAGGTTGTAGACTTCAAAAATATTTAGGTCACAACACAATAATCCAACAGGATTTAAAAACCTTCTTAGCCAGAATATGATGGTATACCTGGTTTGCAATTTCAATGGGTGCCATTGTGGGTAAATCCCCAAAAAACAATATTATTTATCCTTAACACAAGAAATATACTGTATTTGGAAGCATCACAGTTCTGTAATTGTTGTTAGGAGAGATTTGGGAACACATGAAAAACAACGGTGCTCGTCAGGTGCAACTTACTCAGAAAGTAAGCACTAAAATGGCCGCATTCATAAGAATACATAAAAAAATACAAACACATGCAATGGTTTTCCCTGTATGGAAATGGCTGCTATGGATGTGACAACTCGTATTTAAATGGTAATTGCACTTTTATGACACATGTACGCTCATTTAATATATCCAGGGATAGCAAGCAAACATGCAAACAGACTTTTACATATTTTCTTTGAACTACGTGATCATAGGCCGTGGCCAGTGTTAATGCCAGTCGCGGAAAGCACATCTAGGGGAATCCCTGATGGCTCCTGGTTTGCACTGCTGGCCTTGGTCTCTGATGACCGCTCTTAGAACACAAAGAAAGAAAAAAAGACAGAGGTAAGAGTTTGTATAATTGCTTGTTTTACTGTTAATATTAAAAGAGCTAAAAAGTGTTTTAAAAGTACAGTTATCGTTTATAAAGGGCAAACCTAGAACTGCATTGAATGTTTCCACAGACATTTGTTGTAGCGTTTTTGTTTTGTTTTTTTTAATCTTAGTGATCTTGAAAAACATGAAATCTGATCTTTAATATGTCCTTTTACCCCCTAGAAAGGCACTTCATCTCTTATGTCCCAATATTCAATTATTTTGTGTTTCTAGACTTATACTAATACTATTAAAACACATGCAACTCCAAACTAAGGCATTTAAAAAATGTAATCAGCTAAAAATTTAGGAATCACAAAAATCTGTCTACTTACATGTACTTTAAAACAAAATAGGAGGTTATCTGAAGAGCTCTCCTGTCACTTTGTTAAGAAACTAGTGCCAGGTCTGAAGAAGTGGAGTCAGTCAACTTCTAATGCTCCTCAGGAAACATTGCAACTGTAATTAAATCCATTCCATTTATATATAATCCAAGGATTTTATAACCCTTCCTGTCACATGATGCTGTGCTGTTTAGAAGCATTCTAGCAACTATACTGTTTTTGCCACCACCAGCCAGGCAGATGAGATGATTTGCAGGATGATAATTAGAACCTTTCAGCAAGCGTCATACGCTTGGAGTCAGATTAATTAATTAGAAAAAAAAAAGAATCTTGTTTGCCTGAAGTGCTCCTAAAAAGGGGCCCTAACTGGAATAAATCAGTGCACATATAAAATACAGAAAACACAGAATCTAGATGCAATCATATGAAGGAAGTCCTCAAAAATCAGCAGCTCTGTGTGAACAATCTGACATCAGTGTCTCAAATCCCCCTCATCAGCAGGAACCATGTGACCAATGTTTTGACACTAGTCATGTGACTGGCCACACAAGTTGCCCTCTGTTACAACATCAGGGTTTGTTTTTTGTTCATATTTCAACATACTGTATATAGCTGTATTTTATAATACCGCACTGATTTTTTTTAATCTCATATCTTCTTTAATGTGATGTATTAAGGAGCATCCACATGGGGTATATAAAAGTGTACATACCCACAGATACTTATTTGGGTAGATATTCTGGGTAATTAGTTTTATGTTCTCCACCCCCATTTTTCTATAGGGTCATGTCCCCTTACCTTTCTGTACAACTGTGAAAAAGAGGACTACGAATCCTACCATAAGCCCACGGCAACTAATGTCTGCGTACATCGGGATAGGTGAGAAATTCAATAGCAAATATACACTGAGTGGCCAGATTATTATGACCACCCCATCAGTACTTAGTTGGGCCACGAGATGACTTTGTTGGGCTGCCTTGTGACTCCATGAGATGATGAAAGGTGATGCGAGGAATCTGACACTGCACTGTTGCCCTTCTGTTGTCTTGTACCAGTCTTGCCACTCTCCATTCTGCCCTAACATTGACTAGTCGCTGACGGCCACAATTCGCACGTTCAGACCCAGATTTTCGGCTGACAGTCCAGTCTTTAAACGCTTTAACAACAGCCGCTCTTGAACATTTAACGAATTCTGCTGTTTTGCTGATACTCGCTCCATGGCTCCGAGCGCCAACAATCATCCCACGTTCAAAGGCTGTTAAATCGCGTTGTTTACCCATATTACCCATACTTCTACTGTTGTGGTAAACAACCTGCTTCCCTATTTATAATGGTCTGGGCCTCTAGCAACTTCAGTGCAAAATTATAGCTAATTTGCCTACAAACGTCAGGTGGTCATAATAATCTGGCCACTCAGTGTATTTCACACATGAATAAAAAAACAAAGATCTATAGAGCATGCTATATACGTTTAAAATAAATACATACATTTTAAAAATATCAATCATGCTCTGTGAAAGCTGGAAAATCATTTTGTAAAGAAAGTGGCATCAATCACATGAGTATCTGATGAAATCAAGCAAGGTATGAAGCGAAGTATCTAGTAAACATTACACGTTACAACTGCCAACAGCATGTAAACAAAAGAAAAGTAATACGGTAACCATTACCTCTTCTTCTTCTTTTTTTCCTTCTTTCTTAACTTCTCCAAGTCTTTTTTGGCAAGATCTATAATTTCATTGGTTTCTTTCTCAGCTGGAATTGAAGGTGATGAAAATGACGTGTGGCCAGAAAAATAGGATGTCCTTGATGAAGCTCTTGCAAGGCTCTTTCGAAGATTTTCATTCACAGCTTCACTTTCTAACAATTTTGCACTAAACACAAAGTAAAAAAAACAAACCAAACAAGGTTTAATAACATGGCAGCTCAGTGATTGTTTTACAAAGTTCAGTAAGCACATTCTTAAATATCAATACAATTCTGTTTTATAGTATCGGCTACATGGTATCATGGGTGGCAAGCCTATTTCCACCCCCCACCCATATTTCCACCCCCCCCACTCGACATACTATGCCGAGTATTTGGGCGAGTACTTGTACTCGCCCAAATGGTCTGATGCCTAGCCCGATACTTGAGCTTCCGGTAATAGGAAGCCGGGCAGCAAAACATTACACGCTGCCCGGCTTCCTGATTGGCCGGAAAGCCGTCTCCATGCTCCCTCGTCACTTGTGTCACCTGGTGATGAGGGAGCACGAAGCCGGCTTCCCAGCCAATCAGGCGCCATGTATTGACTCGTTGCCCGGCATCCTGATTGGCCAGCTTCTCGACCAATCAGGAAGCCGGGCAGCGTGTAATGTTTTGCTGCCCGGCTTCCTATTACCGGAAGCTCAAGTATCGGGCTAGGCATCAGGTCAGTATCGGGCTAGGCATCAAGCCGGGCAACACGTCATTACACGGCGCACGCTTTCCTGATTGGCCAGAAAGCCGGCTCCATGCTTACTTGTCACCTAGTGACGAGGGAGCATGGAGACAGCTTCTCTGCTAATCGGGAAGTCGGGTGGCGAGTCTTTACACGTCACCCAGCTTCCCGGCTAATCAGGAAGCCAGGTGGCAATTCATTACACGCCGCCTGGCTTCCTTAATGGGACTTCCAGCATTGGTATTCGGTATCGGCGAGTACCGGAAAAAAAATATCGGTACTCGATACCGAAAAACCTGTATCAATGCATCCCTAGTCAAAACACCAGTGGCCTTCAGCTGTAGTTTGATCAGAGCTCTAATCCCTTACACAACTGGTCACATATGTATAACCACTACCAGGACCCACCAACCCTAACAAAATGTCTTTGCTATTGCTCGTATTAAAAATGCTGAGGAACGGAGCATCAATAACAAACCAGTTTTGCATTTCATCTTCAGGGAATTCCTAATTCTTCTTATGGAGTAGAACTTTAGTGGTCCTCAAGTTTTCTACTACATAGGAATGCTCAGGGGATCACAGAGATTTCGGATGCAATACAAAACTTGGTTGTCCTCAGTGGTCCATTCAATAATATTACACTAAACCTTGATTATAAAATGTGTTCTCCACATACTGTATGTCTGTAAGCACATGTAAGAGATACTTTTGTTTCATCTCAATGTTGGAAGCAAGTTTAAAAGTCCCCTTTGTCTAGTAGGGATGATCGCTAGGGAATATCATTACATTATGCACTTGTATTACACCAACCTACATATGGACTCTTACCTTGCTAGTTACAAATTGCCAAGGTACATTTTTTTTCTCTTTGCTGTTTGGTGTGAGCAATATTTTCTACCAATTACATAAACCTTGAAAGTTTAGTACTAAAACACTTAGAGAGCTCTGCTGAAAAGAAATCTCTAATAATCATACAAATAGGACATAAACAAAGATAACCTTCAAAAGTAAAAATAATTTAATATAGAAAAAAAAAATTTGATAACACAAAGTAAAAATAAAAGGTGAGACAAATGTCATATAACGCAATAGCAGCTAATTGCATCCTTATCTGTAAATAAGGTAGATTCCAGTTTCAAATTTTTTAGGAAATATGCCTATAAATAAGTGTCATAAGAACTGAAATGGTGTGAGTTGTAAATGCATTTGAGAATATGCCTCTAGTAAACATGCCTTGAAAACAGAAGCAGTAGAAATAAACAGGCTGAGAAATGTATTCATAGCAAACAATCCTAAACGGGTTTGTCTGAAGACATTGTTTTTCTATCAGTAGCAGGGGAGCTTTCTACAATCTCTTTGGAAGTAGAAACCTCTGTAGATGATATGAACACATTTCTCATCCATTCTTATGTTGAGTAGATACATAATTTAATAACTGAGAAACCTAATGCAGTAGTACCTTTAATTGACCAGGAGGTGGCACCATTAGCCAAATTTTTACTTTCATAACAAAAACACATCAGTACTATACATGATACTTTATTAGAACTGACTTTTCACTTTTCAGGACAAGCTTTTAAAAGTAACATTCAGTACCAAACCTTAGTGTTTGAAAATAAAAACAAACCGTACAACTGATAGAAAAGAGGGGGGAAAAACAAAGTCATAAAGATAAGTCAGATAAAGAGTCAAAAGATAGGTTATGGAATGAAGGGGTAGAGTAGAGAGGTGAATATGGTCATATTATTTTTTAAATATTGTATGCTTTTGTGGTTTTTGTTAGAAGCACCACCCTTATTTTTTCCTTCACAACTCAATGACTATATAAAACACAGAAAAGTCAAATCAGTAGCTATGCGTACATGTGCGAGGTGTACATCTTTAAAAAAAAAAAAAAAAAAAAAAACCCCACGCACCGGAGGTCTT